AAGATTTTGATTTTAAACGGGAAAAAGCAAAAAAAGACTTTTTTTTGTACTGCTACATTTTTTTTCACGGTTGATGAAAGTTTCCCGCAAAATCTAGGGATTGAATGTTAGGAATTTGAACAAGCCTATAGATTGTTTAATTGTAAGAACAATTAAAAGGTCATGCTCTGGTACCAAAGCTGATGTGGAACAAGAAGAAACTTGAAGTTAAAGAAAGAAAAAAAAGTAGCTAAGAGGTAGAAGTTAAAGGAAGAAAAGAAAAGGCCGAAGAAGAGAAAGAATAGGGTTGGAAAAGTCACCAACTTTGCAAATTTTATTCCATTCATAAAAAATTGTCTACATTTAGAAAAATAGAATATACATATTAAAACCCTTGCTAGAACAAACAATTGAGTTTTGTAGCTTAATAAATAAAATATCTAATAATAACTAAATCAAGTTCAACAAATAAAACCAAATAAATTAAATAAAAAATATAAGTTATAGCTGAATCTTTCAACAGTTTGGGCCAACTTTTCATAGTGTGCCGTTGTTATCCTTGACCACTATTGTCCTATTGTTGGCTGCAGATTATTGTGGATGTGATTGGAAAGAGTTTCAACTAGTGGTGTTGTCCTTCACTCTGTTCCATATATTTTGCGAGTGATTTTGGAAGAAAGTCTTGGTGGTGGGGCACGGAGCCATTCGTGTTTGCATTGTTGCTGGGTGCATGTTAGTGTTCTGTTGTGTAATCATTGTTATAAAATGCCTTCTTTTGTATTCTTTGACAGGCATTGTTGTATTGATTATAGTCTAGGAAATTGATTAATTTCCTCAACCGGGAGTGGATGCTTGAGTGCCAACTTCTGTGTTTCTACTTTCTAGCGGTGCTTTGATTTCAGGTTTCATACGCTGTTGTCATACGTGAACTGCGGCTTTTACGTTGCATAATAAGATTTCCAAACCCTTTCCTCCTTTCTATCAAATAATTTGAGTTCAACAATCTTTCTCAGTTCCAAATTCATGCTATGAAGGGAAAAATCCTCGCTACTTGATTTTGTTTCATTATGCTCTTAAAGCGCAGAATGGCGGCGCAGTTTCTGCAGTAAATTTCACGAATTTTGCTGCGAGGTTTTAATTTCACAAAGAGTTACGGGTGTCATTTGATGCGTTGGTTTCAGAAATTGTTTTAGACGAGCTTAAAGCAGGATACAAAAAGAGAATGTGATTCTATTTAGCTTGGGTTTGTGTGTTAGTGATGGTTATGATCCATACCCAAACATCTAATCAATTGGTTTATTGGTTTTTGAAAGGAGAAATCCTTTAAATGGGTTATCACAGCGACAAAATGGTCGCTGGTGATCGTCGTGTAATGATAAGGATGAGCTACTCCGGAAGACATGCAAAAGTTGCTTGATTTCATAGCTTTGGCCATTGGTGATTGCATCCCTCTAATAATTCTAAAGATTATACCCTTTTTAGCTGCTAGAAAAAAAGAAGAATTGACGAGTTTGGCAGCATTCTGCTCTGTCTGCAAGCCGACAGTTTTTCATTCGATTCAACGCATTTAAACAGGGAAGCCTCGTGAATTTGGCGGGGACCCACACAAATCATCCAGGACTTGACAGGGAGTTGTCTTCGTCCTTGTCCTCTTGCTTTATTCAAGGTTGTCTTTTGCACTGCGTGGAAAGCCTTGTCCTTGTATATTTAGGGCTTCCATCCGTTTCTCTTGAACTCATAAAACTACCTCAGGTTCTCTTGCACTGGATAGACAGATTGTTTTCCAGGGAGATCGGAGGTGCCTTCGTAAAAAAAATTTGCAAGTGTCCTCCTTCATGCTGTCTTGGAACGGGAAAACTGAAGGTGAAGGTCAAGTAAACATAGGATTTCGCACCGCAAGAAGCTTGTTCTGCCTCACTGGTCGTAGAGAAAACGAGGGGGGAAAAGTGCCATGTTTCCAAGCTGACGGACCGTTTGCATGCAGGGCCTGGTTAATTGACCAGAAGACCCTTGTTCCGTCTCAGAAAACAGACAGATTAGCTTGGTTAATTGACGAGAAGATCCTTGTACAAGGACTCCTAAAGGTTGTGGCTACAGCTAACGCAATCTTCAGACGTTTTAAACAATTGATGAATTTTGGCACTCATTAGTTGGCACAAAAATGAATATACTTCTCTTTCAAGCCAATTCGATGTCCTATTAGGCCGTACCTGACCACAAATTAACTAATAAACATTTGAGAACGTTTTATCAACTATTCCAAAAAGCTATATTAATTCACATGTGAGCAGAATGCTTCCAAAATTGATTTCTAATCAGGATAACAGATCGAGACTCAAATTATCATCAAATGCCGTTAAAATAACACAGAAGGGAAGGTTTCTGGAAATATAAAACTAGTTTTGACACAAAAATGACAAATAAGAGGCAAAAGACAGTATTAATAAATCCTTATACACTATTCTACTGGGTAGACTGCCAGGGATCAGTGTACATAACTAACATGCAGGGCTCTGTCACACTGTCATGAATAGGAATCTCCCTTAAATCATGGCATTTTACTCTGTTTAACCTTTAAATAAATATATTGGCAGGTTCCCATGAAACCCCACAACGAAAGTCTTTTTAAGACCTATGGATGTACGGGGAATTGAGATCGATGGACATGGTTTTCATGAACACATGCAATACAAGTAAGTTTTAGGGATACGTTATCAATCTACTGAGAGAGATGTGTGATCAGTTTGCCGAGAAAATATGACGTAAATTTAGAGAAATATGTGATCAGTCCTAAAAATAAAATATAAGGTTAGTTCGAAGATGCGTGAGAATACGAGGTTAATATGGAGATATTGTTTTATTAGCCCCATCATCCATAAATCAAGGTCGCTGCGGAGGAGAGATAGGTTAGATATTAGGCAAATAATTAAGGTGCCGATGGGGAATTGCTCTATAGTTGGGGGGACCGGTTTTTACGGGAAAGTCTCTGCAAGCCCGTGACCGACCGCATCCCCTGCAAATGGCCCATTGCGGACAAGAATCTTTATCATCATCGGATTGATCCTGACCCTCCCAAAAGAGGTCGATTCACGAGATGCTCTTAGTGCCACTTTGCATTACAGTTTATTTTTTAGATATCATTAATTTAAATATTATAAATCTTAAAAGAATTAGTTGAAGTGCTGATAAACTGATTCAAATATTCACGATTAAAAAAAACGCTCCTCTTACCCAAGTTTAATTCACCGGAGCATTAAAGCTTAGCTGTCCACCACTCAATACCCGTCGGTTTATTTGCAGCCTTCTAAAAGAGCCCCAGAGTGATCAAATAGAAAAAAAAGAAGAATACAACTCGTAAATTTTATTTATAAGAAGGCTAGCTTTGTAGTTTGCCTCCAAGTTGGAGTTCTTTATGATTATTTTGTGAGCTATAGTTAACACGTTCGGATGCCCCAACTGGACCCCAGATCATGCTGCTTGATTACTGCTATCACATTGCAATAATTACGAGGGTGTTTCAGTAATTTAATCCCTCCCAGAGCCTCACTGCATATATGTACATGCGTATCACTTCCACCCATGCACACACAACAACAATCTTACCTTGTCCGCTGTTCTTTCAGCTCAGAGTCCATAGTCATGGACCTCCCTCACTGTGCTGCTACGTTCTTTTTGTTTGCCCTTCTATTCTCGACTACTAAAGCTGTAGATCCTTGTGCTACTCAGTCAGACAACTCTGATCTCTCTGTCATTCCCATCTATAGCAAATGTTCACCTTTTGTTCCGCCCAAGCAAGATTCGTGGGTCAACACGGTCATCACCATGGCCTCAAAAGACCCAGAAAGGCTCACGTATTTATCAACGTTAGCAGACCAAAAGACCACTTCAGTCCCAATTGCCCCGGGTCAGCAGGTCCTAAAGATTGCTAACTATGTGGTCCGGGTCAAGTTGGGAACCCCGGGTCAACAAATGTTCATGGTCCTTGACACCAGCAACGATGCTGCATGGGTACCATGCTCAGGGTGCACCGGGTGCTCGAGCACCACATTCCTACCCAATGCCTCTACGACTATTGGGTCACTGGACTGTTCTGGAGCCCAATGCTCCCAAGTCCGTGGATTTTCCTGCCCAGCTACCGGGTCCTCCGCTTGCCTTTTTAACCAATCTTATGGTGGAGACTCCTCCTTAACAGCTACTCTTGTGCAAGATGCAATAACATTAGCCAACGATGTAATTGCAGGCTTTACTTTTGGATGCATTAACGCCGTCTCCGGTGGGTCAATACCACCCCAAGGGTTATTGGGTCTGGGCCGTGGACCCATCTCGTTAATTTCTCAAGCAGGGGCAATGTACTCGGGTGTCTTCTCTTATTGTCTACCCAGTTTCAAGAGCTACTACTTCTCAGGTTCTCTCAAGCTCGGCCCTGTTGGTCAACCCAAGTCCATTAGGACCACCCCACTTCTACGAAACCCTCACCGCCCGTCCCTATACTACGTAAACCTAACAGGAGTTAGCGTGGGCCGGATCAAAGTACCAATTCCCTCTGAACAACTTGTTTTTGACCCAAATACCGGAGCAGGGACCATAATCGACTCCGGTACAGTCATAACCCGATTTGTCCAACCAGTTTACAATGCCATCCGCGATGAGTTTAGAAAGCAAGTGAATGGCCCCATCTCAAGTTTAGGTGCCTTCGACACATGCTTTGCTGCAACAAATGAAGCAGTAGCACCTGCAATAACCCTACACTTCGAGGGCTTGAACTTGGTCTTGCCCATGGAGAACAGCTTGATACATAGCAGTTCTGGCTCACTAGCATGCTTGTCTATGGCTGCAGCACCAAACAATGTGAATTCAGTGTTGAATGTTATAGCCAATTTGCAGCAGCAGAACCTTAGGATTATGTTTGACACGACCAATTCCCGTTTGGGAATTGCCCGTGAGCTATGTAACTAGAATTCTGTTCCTTTTCCTAATTAGCGTTTGCTGAGTTATGTTTCTTTGCAAAATAGGCCGTGCTGAATAATTAAACAGGACACGTCCTGTTGTCATAGAAGCTGTGTTGTATCATAGATTAAGGTTTTGTTTAATTATGAAAACAAAATGAGAGTGCTAATTGTATTGATATGAATTAGGATTTATCCTATATATATGTGTGTGTGTGGGGTTTGGAGAACTCTGCTTTCAAATGAAAATGGAAAAGCCCTTCAAACTGTTTTGGAACACTCCATCTCAATCTCATTGTTGATCGAATCTTCAAATAATTTACAATAAGCTCGTAACACCCCCGCAAGTTAAAAATATCAAACGCACAAACGACATGAAATAAAGAAAAAAAAAAACAACAGCACGTAAATTGCAACATGTTAATTTAAATTGGTCTCCCTTTTCTTTTTTCGATCTTGTTCGTCGATCAACCCCACCACTGGTGCACTGCAACACCCTCATCCCTTAGCTTTCCATACAATGCTAAGCATTCCCAGTAGGTCTTTTTGCTGCCATTCCCATTCCTTCGTGGCTTGCACTCCAAGAAAAGCTCATCCACTAACCTTATTGCCTTGCTTTTCACCATCTCCTCCACCACTTCCGCCTCTGCCTTCATCACCACATACTCTTCCCCCTTCACATTATGTTTCAACCAATCTGACATCCCAACTTCTTCTACCTGAGGCACCTCCTTCCCTGACGATTGCTCAGTCACTGTCTCAATCTTGTACATTTCGAAATCAAGATTTCTTGTAGGATAATTCTTCGCGAACCATCCATTACCACTTCCACCGTCTTTCTCTGGCAACCCCACATCAATGAACACACGACGAGGATAACTTTCAAGTGAATCACCCATTAAGTCTGGCAGATATCTTGTCTTTTTCAGGTATCTGCTCGATTTACCCGATGCTGCCCGCGGAGGTTCCAGGAGAACATCTTCCAGGTTCTGTAGTGCTGCTTTCTTTGCCTCGTTGGCATGATATCCTAGAAGCCGCCTTTGAGTGATCAAATTAGTATCCCCATATCCTGTTTTCCTCATGGCCAAAATATTAGCGGCCTGAAATCTCCTGAGATAAACTATTTTATAATTGAAAGGCTTGTCGAATGCAGAGGAAGGATCATTGCTTAGTTGAACAACCGCAATGCCACCAACTTTGAGAGTCCGGTCAATGAATTCTGAGGTCGTATGGAAGTCATCATAGGTGAAGGCAAAGTCGAGTGCTTCACCAGGAATTGAGCGTTGTCGATCCAAATTAGCAGCAGAGATGATTTTCGTATCATTGACATTGAGGATCTTAGAGATGTGAATGGCATTACCAATGCCATTGCCATTGCCACTGCCCACAAAAACTGTTTTGTCCCCCGTTTTAAGTAGCCCCTCGTTTGTTAAATCATGGATAAGTAAAGGCAAGACCTTAGCATCGAATAAATCGGGATCAGATTCGGGCTCAAGAATAGGTGACCCAGAGGATATAGAAGCATCGGAAAGTGTTCTCAATAAGGGGAATGTGGCAAAGATCAACGCCAAAAGCAAGGATTGTGCGAGAAGCCTCAAGGCCCTAATGTTAGGGAGCTTGATGATCACGTATTTGTCGCCATAAAAATCAATGCTTTTGGTATGCAAGGGTAAGTGCCTGTGTTTCTTGAGGTTTTTGGATTGAAATCGTTGTATAAATTGAATTGCCATAATTGCAAAAATTGATTATGGCAGAAACAATATAATTCAAAAAATAAAGGCTGATGAAGTTTGCTAAATATTGAACGTGAATTTCTACGAGAAAACCAAGCTACATGCAGGAATGAAGAAATCTAAATCACCTTAAAGCAAGATGTCTAATCAATTAAATCTCTAAGGTAAATAACGGGAGGGAGAGCAGCAAAACAAGAACTTAGCGAGTACAAAACCTGGCGGCGGTGTGATTCCCACCCACGAGGGCCACACGGGTGCTTTGTATTCTAGACCAAAGCAACATCAACTGCCTCAACCGCTGCACCTCCATTTCTTAATTTTGCATTTTCAGATCGATGATTTATTCCTTCTGCCACTGATTAACCTTCTCGTGTTAACACATCAGCGACACATTATCTGCAAACACCCCTAACCATCGATCAATGATTTAATGGAGGGACGGAGACAGTTTCTTTTTTGTTTTCTTTTCTTCTCCTACAGGGAATTCTTTGAGTTGGAGTGCTCGGGATATGTGAATGGAGAGAGAAGAGAATATAAGGAAGAAAAAATAGACGTGTAAAAAGGGGTATGCCAACAACGTGTTGTCATGGTAAAAATGGTTGGTGTCACGAGAAATTAGTTTAGCCATTGCTGCAGTCTTAGTTTGTTTCTGTTGCTATAATTTCCTTTTGATCTCCTTTGGAAGCGCTGAGCTTCGGCTGTCAACATTGGATTAACTTGTGTAACCACTCCCTGTTCTTCCTTAATCTTTTTTTTACTATAATTTTATACGATGGAGCGCTTGCTGGTTACATGGCTGGAAGTCTAGAAGATCATCTTTGTCATTGAATTAAAGTTGGAGGTCACCAATTTCTCATTAAAATATGTCTTAGAACTCTCACAATACGTGTACATTTCGAGCTGCTAGTTATTTAACATTTTGATTCAATAACCATGCATGTCTTTAGTACTAATTGAGTCACGATATATACACATCCATAGTTTTTTTGTAGATATTAAGCGGCATAGCAGAGTTTTTAAATTTTACACTTCAAAATTATTTTATAAAAATCCTTTTATAAATTTATTATTATTGTTATATAACAAAAATATATAGCATGTGATTTTTTCACCATAAATTGTTACAGTAAAATTATTTTTTACCCGTAAATTGAAATAAAAAACCATCTTGTTGTTGAGGGTAAAATAATGTTTTTCATAGAGTCATTAGTAAATTATTTTGGGTATTTTCATATTTTCTAAAATATAATTTTACCTTTAGAGTTAATAATTTCTAAATAAATGATTTGATCTTTTAAAAAAATTAAAAATAGTTTAAATACTTACCTACCCTTGGTGTCAGAAAAATTAGAGTTGTTTATCAATGATTTTTTTGGCTTTTTATATTTTAGAATACAATAAAAATATAATTATATTCTTAAAAAAGATAACAATCAAGGTATAAATATAGAGGCATTTGTGTACTTTCATCATTATTTTTTTTGTGATTCTCGGGTTTATAAAAACCATTATGATATTTTTAAGTTGAAAAACTATTCTTTTATTTTAAAACGTTGATGACACGTGTGAGCTAGTTAGTGTCATCTGCAATATTTAGATGGTTCATGTGGTGTCATGTAGTGGTCAAACTTATTTTTGTGTTGTGTCCTTCAAAGCACCGTTATGTCATCTTTCTTGTCAGGTGGTGCACGGTGATGAATGATGACTAGTTTGTTGTTAAGGTCAATTTTTTTTCTTTCTTCTTCTCTTTCTCTTCCCAAAAAAGTGCAAATTTATCTTCTTGTTTTTAGATTTGTCAATTACAGCCCTTGTGTTTTTTGTTATTTATTTTCATTCTTTGTTATGTTATAAAAGTTTTAAATGTTTTTAATCTATTTCTTGAATTATAATTTGTCATATCTTATTTTTTCCACTTTAATCCTTATTCTTTTAATTTTTAATTTTTTTCCTTGACTTTTTTATTAAAGTTTTGTTGGTTTTCTTATTTTTATTCTAATTTGTAATATGTAATATTTTGCAATTTGATCGTTCTTTTTTTGATTTCTTTAGTTTTTTCTTGGTTCTCTTGTCAAAGTTTTAATGGTTTTTAATTTTATCTTTCAAATCAAGTTTATGATTTCTGTTTTTTCAATAATAATTTATAGTAATAGTAATAATAATAGTAATAAACTAATAATGATACTAATAATACTATTAATAGTGATGATAATGGTAATAATAATAGCAATAATAATTGTTTACAATAATAATAATAATAGTTTATTGTTTTCAATTTTATCTTTCAAATCAAGTTATGGTTTTTGTGTTGTCAACAATAACAACAACAATAATAGTAATGATATTAATAATAAAAATAAAAATAAAGATGATGATGATAATAATGATAATAGTATATTATAATAATAATCATAATAATAATAGTAATAATTATGATGATAAAAGTGATAATAGTAATGATGATGATAATAATAATAATATTGGCAATGATAAGAATAGAAATAAGAATAGAAATAATTATAATGATGGTGATAGTAATAATAATACTAATAATACTAGTAATGTTAAGAAATATGATTTGTTATAATAATAATAATAGTGATAATAATAATAAGAGTAACAGTGGTGGTATAACTTCTAATGATAATGATAGCACCACCACCACCACCACCACCACTACTAATAAAAATAAAAATAAAAACAACAATAATAGTATTGATCATCGTTATCATCATTACAACAACAATAATAGTGATAATGATAATAACAACAATAACAATAATAATAATTATTATAATTATAATTCTAATAGCAATAATAATAGTAATATTAATAATATTATTTATTAATAATAGTAGTGGTAGTAATATTAACAACGACAACAACAATAATAATAGTTCATTCAACATTAGATTTTTTGGAAATTGAGATTCATTGTTTTTTCATGTATGATACTTTTGGTCTAATAACTCAAGTTACGAGCTTGAAAGGTTGATGTGGCCTGACATTTTTTTTTTTTTACTTTATTTTTTTTTCAATTTCTTCACTCAATGTTAGTTCTTTAAAATAAAAAACGCTTTATGGTTTGTTTAGACTTCTTTTCTACCAAGTTAACCTGATTTATAACATGAATCATTAGTTTTAAAAATTAACACAAGTTGGCTCACCTCTTATTACCCTACTTGTATAATGATGCTATCTCAAATTGACTTGATTTTTTTTTGTCTTTTTTAATCCAATTACACACTTTTAGAGTTTTTTTATAGGTTATCTGGTCTTATTTTTGCACATTTACTATCGTTGTTATTTTTTTATCATCTAATTAAAATAAAATTGACTTGTTAAGCTTATCCAAGGCCATAACTCAAGTTATTTTTTTTTTATTTAAAACATGTTTACAGTACCTAAACATTTTTTTTTCATGGAGAAAAATACAAACATGTGGCATAATGTTGATTCATATCTCATATAAACTAAAATAGCAAAGCTTTTCAAACAATTATTTTATCAGAGACTCTGAGATATTTGCATGATGTACTTACTACAATGCAAATGCTTTTATCTTCTTTTTTTTATATGTTTCTTGATCCATTATTCGTTTAAGTTTTCAATTTTTTTATTAATTTTATCATTTTATATTATGCTCATATGTTTTTAAGTCTAAAAACTTTTTTTGTATCGCATATTATATTATACTATGTAAAAAAAAATCTTACATTGAATTGATATGCTTGATTTTACAAAATAACAATGCTTGATTTTATTGATAAAAAAAATAAAATAAAAAGGATCAAATTTTAAAAAATAAAAATATAGAGGCAAGCCTTTTTTTTAATTAACTTCTTTCAATATTCATGGGGCATAAGATAATCCATATAGGTCCCTACATTTATTTTTCCTTTTGGTATGGTCCTTGTCTTTCTAGGCCTTTACGTCCCAGTCCTAAACTTTATTTGTTCTACATTTCAATTCTTGAGATTTGAGATGAGAGAAAAAATCATAAAAAATAAGAGGAAGAGAGAGAAAAAATGGATAATTATTCATATTTTAATCACTAAAAAAACAGATTTTAGTGTTTTTTTGTTCCTCTTTATAAAAAAAGTTTCATTGAGATGTTTTTTAGCTTTTATCTTGTTGAAAGTTGTAAATCTAGGTAAAGAAAGATTTTTTACATTCTATTTGATTTTGTACTTTTTGATCACTTCAGGGTATTTTGAAGTTACAAAATGGTTTATCAAGTCTTATAGGTTGCTTATTAGGTGAAACTAAGTGGAGAAATAGATTTTTGGATTATTTTAAAATTATTCTCATGGATATATAATGAAAATAAAATTTTGTTTTCATATTTTTTTGGTAGATTTTTTATATGATTTTATCACCTTAATTAATTTTTTTCCTTAATCATGTATAAAATAATTGAGATATTATTTTAAGTTTTTTTTAATCAAGACTTGCTTTTGAGATCATGATGATTTTTTATTTTAAAAATGCTTATGATTAAAAAACATGTTTTCATAAAAAAAATGAAGAGATTCATTAATAAAAAAATGAAGTTGAGGCTGAACAAATGCATTTTCCTACTTATCTCAAACAATTGAAATTTTAATAGATCTTTGTTTAATTATCGTTGCATTTTATTAAAAAAATATATTGCTAATGAAAAACTACTTCGTTTTTCTACAAAGATCATGACTTCCTTCTACAATGATGTTATCAATTGCTTCATGGATAATTTTATACTAACCTGGAATGTATAATTTTTAAAATAATTTTCTTATTAATACTGAACAAGAATAAAATACATATTTTTCATGGTTTTTTAATTAAATTTTTTTATATATTTTTCTCAAATTTATTGTTCTCATACTTTGTCATGTAGTTATGGAGAGGTAATTGATTCATGATTTTTTAATTTTTTATTTGATATTTGTTTTTACAATTATAATAAGCTTTTGCTTTAAAAATAATACTTTTTATGGAAAAAAAAAAACATGTTTTAATGAATATATAAAAAAAATATGAGGAAGAAGAATAAGCCTTTTATTATAAATATAGGCTTTTTTCTTTTTTTAGTTTGAATCATTGTAGTTTTTGTTTTTTACTTTTTTTTATCTTATTGTTATTGCTTTTTTTTAATAAACAATGTTACTAATATTTTTTTGTCGAAAAAAACATGAATAAAAAAATATTATTTTGATAAAAAATAATATATATTTTAATAATTTTATTCATTATTTTTTTATATAAATATTTATTTTTATTATTATATGATCTAATTCACGAGTTAAAAAAACTAACTTGATTTAACACATAGTTATTTCAATTTAACACATAGTTATTTCAATATTTTTTCTTATGAAAATATTAAGTTAATAATGTTGTTGATTTTTTTATTTTAAATCAGTTTAGTTTTTAATCGGATGACGAGGAGTGTGCATGATAAATCGACAAATTAACCTTCACTCTTTTTTTTTTTAAGCTAAAT